CACAAGCAAATGCGCACGGAGCCACAGGGCTGGGGCTGGGGCTGGGGCTGGAGAGAGGAGATGCCAGATATTTGGACTCGGCTCTGTAGATGAATGACGGAAATAGACTAGGTGCTAATTTGCATGTAGCTTCACATGCGATTTGCATACGGCTTGCTTAATGCTCAGTTGCACCAGAAGCCTCGTTTCATCTCCATTGCCATCTGGCTCCTCCCCCAGGGGGTCACGCCTTGGGTCATGCCCAGCCTGGGGGCCGGAGAGCTAAACTCAGCCAAGGTGTTAGATACTGGGCAGAGGAGGCCAGCAGCTCTTGTGGGCTTTGCTGGGCTCTGACAGCTCGAGGTTTTAATCTTGTTCCCTCGGGCCAGAGCAGCTTAGTCTGGGCTGCTAGTGTGGGGAAGAGGGGAGGGGACTCACACTCCAGGGCCAGGCCTCTCTGATCCTACCTCCAGGCCCTGGACTCTTCCTGCCAGATCCCATCCACCCCAGGGAGGAGGTGGCCACCTCTCCGGGTCACTCAATAAGGCAGGGACCCAAACACTGGGTGTCGGCCAGCACTGGCCTCAGCTTGGATGATGCCCTGGGCGAATCAGGGCAGAGAGGACTGGGCTGGGCCTCTGCCTTCTTCAGGGGCAGAACCACTTTTAGAAGGGAGAGGATTTGGGGCCGGGTGCGGTGGCTCAAGCCTGTAATCCCAGCACTTTGGGAGGCCGAGGCGGGTGGATCACGAGGTCGAGAGATCGAGACCATCCTGGTCAACATGGTGAAACCCTGTTTCTACTAAAAATACAAAAAATTAGCTGGGCATGGTGGCGCGTGCCTGTGATCCCAGCTACTCAGGAGGCTGAGGCAGGAGAACTGCCTGAACCCAGGAGGCGGAGGTTGCGGTGAGCCGAGATCGCGCCATTGCACTCAAGCCTGGGTAACAAGAGCGAAACTCCATCTCAAAAAAAAAAAAAAAAAAGGGAGAGGATTTTGAGAAAACCCTAAAGTGGCCACTGTTGGGAGGGAACAGCCACCCTAGGGAGAGGGGTGTGAGCGGAGGGGGAATTCGGAAGCCCCTATGGATGGGGTCAGAGAAATACAATGTGTCCAAATAAGGAAGCCCTGGTAATCTGGGAAGGCCTCTGGAAGGAAGAGGCTGCAGTGCCCCTGGGAAGGTGGGCTCTGAGAAGAGAGGGGCTGTGTCCTGGGCCCTAGACAAGAAGCTGGCCCTCCTGTAGGACTCTGCCAAGCTCAGTGCCCTGCTCCATGGACAGAGGACTCTGCTCCAGGCCCTGCAAGGGATGAGGTAAGGGACTGCGTGGGGACCCCTCCACGACCTTGCTTCTCTGCCTGAAGTTCCTCCACTAGCCCTTCATTCCTTCCATCATTTCCTGAGCACCCAGCATGCAGCCTGTCCATTGGAAGGTCTGGGGGTAGAGTTAGGTTGACTCGACTTTAACTGAATCATGTTTAAAGTTTTCAAGTCGTAGTTGAAAAGCAATTCTCTCCAGGAGAAGCTCATCGTGAAGGCCCCCGTCCGACACTCCCACCCTCAGGAGGGTTAAGAAATATGAGCACTCTTTCAGTGGCAGCTCCTGGGATGAGGGGCATTTTGATGGGAGCTCTTGGAGAGGGAACACAGCCAAGATCAGACCAGCTGGAGGAGGCGCAGTCCCTGACTTGGTTTTGTGCCCCCATTAGCCTCCAGATATCCCACTCTAGCCTGGGCCTCTGGAGCCCTGGGGCTTGGGGGAGTCCTGGGGATGCTGTGGAGGAGATATGCATCCAGCCTGAAGCCTAACGCCCCTCTGTAAGCCCCTATGGATGGGGTCAGAGAAACACAATGTGTCCAAATGGACTTTAGGGAAATCTCTATCTGAGCTAAAGTCTCAGGATATAGGAAGAAGGTTTGAGGTGAAAAGACCAAAGAAGGGGCCCTATGGATGGTACCTGTTCCCCACCCATGTGCTGCCCCTTGGGGGATGGGAAATGATTAGGCCATTTGGGTGAAGCAGAAGAGGTAATGAGTCATCTTACTTGGTTTCCACCCCTGACTAGGGACGCAGCTGTCCGCATGGCCACAGAAGCCCGAGTCTCCTACCTGCCTGTGGGCACTGAGCACCATTTCTTAGAGCTGGACCACATCCTGGGCCTCCTGCAGAAGGAGCTTCGGGGCCCGGCGGTGAGGGGGATGTAGTGGGGAGCATGGAGGCGCCAACCCTGATGTCTGGGCTCAGCCACCTTTCTTCCAGCACTTCTGCAGCCCCAAGCCCTCCTTCCTTTGCCCGCCCCTCCCAGGACCACTGCCAAGCACATCTGTGCCCGTGTCTGTGTGTGTGTGCATACGTGCCAGGACACAGATATCTTCCCTGCCCTCTCTGCTCTTTGGAGAGTCCCACAGACTCAGCACCAGCAGGACCCTGGTCTCCCTTGATCCAATACCCAATGACCAGAGGAGAATGGGGTGGGCTGTGCCCAAGATCATTCAGAGTTCAGTGGTGGAGTCAGTGCTTCCCATGCCCTGTCCCATCCTTGTTCCCTCACCCCCACCCTGTCTTTGGCTCTCTACTTCTCTTTCTCTTCTCTTAAGCCTTGGGTCCCTTGATGATCCCAGGCCCTAGGCCTTCCCAGCTGTTCCCACAGATGCAGCCATGGGAGCCGAGGCAGGGGAGGCAGCTTTGTACACTGCCTCCTCTCCAAGTTCCCTGGATGAGAGCCAGGACACCCCAAGCCTGGGGGAGGGAAATGGAGCAGGCCCATGACCCAGATTCCAGGTCCCCCTCTCCTTATGGGTAAGAAGCTGGGCTGAGCTAGGACCTTAGACCTTCCCCTTTCAGAAGGCAGCAGCCAAGGCCCCCCGCCTACCCAGCCAGCCCCCAAGGGCCTCCTCGTGCCTGCAGCCTGGCATCTTCCTGTTCTTCCTCCTCATTCAGACTGTTGGCTTCTGCAGCTACGTGCACTTCAGGTGGGCCACCCCATGAGTCAGACTTCCCACAGTACTGGCATCTCTTGGTTCTCAGCTCTAGCCACTGGATTTAGGAGAGGGAACACTTTAGCCCAGACAGGCCCTGTCCAGTCCCCAAATCGCAAAGAGCACAGTGCAGAATAAGGCCCATTCTCTCACCAAGCACTACTGACCACCTGCTCGGTCCCCAGACCCGTCTGGGTCCTGCGCCCACGGAGCTCACTCGCACAGGTCTAACTGACCCCGTGTGGTCAATGCCATGATGTCAGGAAGCTGAGGGGCTACAGGAGCACAGGAGAACACACTTGACCCCACTTGGTTACGGAATCAACCTGGAAAGGACATTTGATATGGTCATTAAGGTGACGAGGAGTTTTCCACCCTGACAAGATAGGTAAAGGCATAGAGGCAGAGGAAACAGCATGAGAAAAGGCAGGGAGGCGTAAGAAAAACAGTATTTTAGAGAAAACATGCAAGTTCGGTAGTGTTGGAGAAAAAGGCAGGACCAGTTTGTGAAACTGGGCAAAGAGACGTGAAAAGGTGGGAGGAGGTCACTGGTTTTGCTTGGTATGTGTTTGATGAATGAATGAATGTGTACCGCTTAGAGACGTGGGGTGTGCTAAGGGCCTCAGCAACGAGACTGACGATCTTTGTTGGTGGAATTTCAAGACAAGTAGAGTCTGTGTGGGCTGGGATGGTCCTGGAGGAAGAGCGAAATGAGCTAGGCTTTAAAAAGCACAAGGTGGAAATGATCACAGGCTCATGCACATGCACGGGAGCGCAGTGGTGGCAATCAGCCTGGAGCTGCTGGGACAGACCTCGCATGCCCAGGGGGGAAGCGTGGACCGTATGAGGCAGGCCAAAAGAGCCACAGAAAGTCCCAGAACAGAGAAGATTGTGGTGCAATCCGTGTAGCAAGGGGAGCATGAGAGCCTTGGTTTTTCAAAAGCCTATAAAGGAGAGATACAAGTAACCTGTAACCTTCTCTCTGGCAGCAGGCAGAAGCTGGACAACAGCCTTCAGAAGTGTCTGTCCACAGGTAGCCTTCTTCCGTGTCCTGAACCACACACCCCTAGGGCCCTGGGGATTGTGAGGAGGCAGCCTCTCCCTGCCAGCATGCCTGCCTGACCCACCTCAGAGCCATTTTGCATCACTGGGAAGCAGGCGGTGTCTGCGATGGGGGCTTGGTCAGTATCCTCTCCTTCTGCATGCCCAGCTCCCACCTACACCTGAGCTTTCAGCACATTCCCACCTTATTAAACGTGATTTCCCTCTCCCCACGCTGACATGCTGGTCTTCCTTCCAGCCTCACCCTAATCTCTGTGAAGGCTTCCACCCCTACTGAGTAGCTGGCTGGGAGTGCCTCCAAGCAGGCAGGGAGGCCAAGGGCTGGCTTAACCTCCAAAAGACCAGATACCCCACAGGCTTTGAGCCCTGGACTATGGAAAGAAACGGAGCCATGACGTGTATAATTCTGTCCTCAAATTCACCCAGAACAGGGAGCAGTGTCTCCCAGTGTCCCTCCTGGCCCAGCCAGTGAGCTCTCTCCCTCCCCACTCCCAGCTGCTCCGGGGGCAGCTGGGGAGGCGCGTGACAGAGGAACCCTGAGAGGCCAACTCGTGGAACCATAACTGGGATTCCCGCTCGCACCCTCGGGTCTCCCTCCCTTTTCCAGCGACAAGCTCTTTGGGCAGCCGCTGGGTTCAGTGAGTTGGGTGGGTAGGGAAAATGGGGGTCGCCCAAGGCTGGGTTTTTACCCCTTGCTGCTACCTGGATCTCGAAGCTGAAATCCCAGTTATCAGCGGCCCAGGAGAGGAGAAAGTTGAAGGAGGCTAGGGAATAGGGTTCCGCGAGTGTATCAGCTCAGCCCCTCTCCCGGGGGAGCGACCCCACCACCGCAGACCCTAATCCGCTGTCAGCAGTGCCCAGCGGAGCTCGGCGTTGGACGAGGCACGTGGGGGAGGCGGGAGTGGGGAGCGGGCACGTGGTCCAGCCTTCTCAGCCCCGTGCTGCCCCCCGCCCCCCGTGAGGAGGGGTTTGGGGAGGTGGGGGCGGGCCCGGGCGGGGGCGGGCGGCGGGCGGCGCCAAGCGTGGGGCGCGGGCCCGCGGCGGGAGCTGTCCGCGAGACCTAGTGCTGAAGTAGGCGCAGACGTGCCCGGTGCCTGGCGCGTGGTAGCAGGCGCCCAGTGCCCCGGCCGGCGAAGACCATGGCGTTCATGGTGAAGACCATGGTGGGCGGCCAGCTGAAGAACCTCACCGGGAGCCTGGGAGGCGGCGAGGACAAGGGGGATGGAGACAAGTCAGCAGCCGAAGCTCAGGGCATGAGCCGAGAGGAGTACGAGGAGTATCAGAAGCAACTGGTGGAAGAGAAGTGAGTGGGATCCCTTTCCTGGCTCCAGCGACCTCCCCTTCCCTACCCCCACAACTGCTCAGTCCAACCCGGGGCCAGCCTCAGGTCCCAATCCCCTCTCCCCGACTTTCCTAGACGTGGTACGAGACCGGGAGGCGTCTTCTACCCTGCCCCCAGAGCCATCCAATCTCAAACCCAAAACCCCACTTCCGCTTCATACTCTGGCCAAAGGGGAGTGGGGGGAGGGGCGGCCGGAGCCTGGGACGAGGAGGGGGATGCACGTGCATTTCTGACGAAACAATAATCCCTTAATCCGATCTGGTCCCAGCCGCCTATGTCTTCCAACTGGGGCTCCTCTGAGCTTGAGCCTCTGAAAAAAGTGGTGCAACCAAGGAGGCTCAGAGTCGCGGAGGCAGACCCTGAGATGGGGCACTTACAGACATTCAGCCTACTTCTGTGCCCACAGTGCTGGGACAGAGTTTGGGGCTGGTCTCTTCTGCTAGGCTACTGGATTTAGAGCCTGGCTTTGCTTATTAGCTGGGTAACTTTAGGCAAGTTGCTTAACCTTTCTGTGCCTCTGTTTTCTTTTCTGGAAAATGGGGATGGTAATCATAATACATGCCTTGTATATTTATGAAGATTCAATGCCAATGCATGTGAACCGTTTAGCACAGCACCTGGCACAGGATAAAACCTCATAAATGATAGCTATTATTTCGCATAATCCTGATAACCGTTTTGTGGGTTGCAAAATTGCATCCTTATTTTACAGAAAAGGAAGGTAAGTGACCCAAGGATATACCTAAAATGGTAGTGGAGCTGGGATGTGAACCCAAGTTTGTCCAGAATACTTTGCCCCACATGACATAGCTTGTCAGGGAGGGAGCAACTGACCAAATCGGAGGCCATGAGGGACAAATAATTAGAGTCTGCAGAGAGAGCCAGACAGACTGCCACCGTGACCCCCTAGTTTCATCCAGCGGCAGAGATGACAAAGGGCACTGTGATGGGAAGAGGCAGCAGAGACCCGGACACAGGGACCAATGCAGCAGCTGCCAGAACTTGGAGACCCCTTCTGTCCTTCCCTCGAAGACCCCAACACTCTTTGCTCTGCCCTTGTGGTGACTCTGCCCCTGGTGACCCCGCAGGATGGAGCGGGATGCACAGTTCACACAGAGGAAGGCAGAGCGGGCCACACTGCGGAGCCACTTCCGAGATAAATACCGGCTGCCCAAGGTAAGCTGGTTCCGGCTGCGAGGCAAGTCTGGGACCCTGAGCTCTGGGCTCTGGACCCCTTCGCCCCATCCTGGGCACCACAGCCCTCAACTATAAGACTCACAGGGTGCTTGGTTAGATCCTTCATTCTCTCACTCATCACCCATTCATTTGTTCGTTTATTCATTCACTCACTCATAGTTAACCTGCGCCCACCAAGGGCCAGGGCTTAGTGCTGAGAGGACCCCAGTCCTTGTGAGACTGACAGGTTTGTATTTCTGGAGCCAGTCTAGGCCTCTTCTATTCTCCACCCGCTGCTCCCCCACCAAGCCTAGGCCAGACCTGGGCAGAGGAAGACATGGGGGAGGCAGGAAGCAGTGTAGTTGACTGCCAAGGTGAGTGCTCTGGGGGTTTTTGAACCTACTAGAGGACAAAACTTAAGGTGGGGGAGAGAAGTCCTGTGTGTGCCAGGTACTTGAACTTCATGTCCTCGTGTAACCCCCAGTAATGCTGCCAGGCAGCTGTCGCCCACAGCCACAAACGACAAAACGGAGGCTCGGAGAGACGGAGGAACTTGGCTAAGGTCACACAGCCAGCGAGCCATGGAGCTGGGATCAGCCCTCAAGCCCGTGAATTCTGAGCCTGCCTTTGCTCCAGAGCCCCAGGCTGCTTTCCAGGGTATGGAGCCTGCCCGTAGAGAGCCAAGTACCCCCTTGGCCAGCCAAGCAGCCAGAGATTATATCTCAGGAGATCCCTGCCCCCACACTCCCCTGGGCAGTGCAGCACCAGATGGGCATGGAAGTGTGGGGCTCCTGCTCTTTGAGGAGGGCACTGAAGCACAAACCTCTCCCAGAATATCACCCTAGTGCTGTTCTTCCTCCTCATTCCAAAAAAGCGCACGTAGACTTCTTTGGCTATGTGTACTTCAGGTGGGCCACTCACTCTGTGAGCCAGACTTCCCACAGCACTGGCATCTCCTGGTTCTCAGCTCTAGCCATTGAATATAGGAGAGGGAACACTTCAGCCCAGACGGGACCTGCCCAGTCCTCAAATCGCAAAGAGCACAGTGCAGGGTAGGGCCCACTCTCTCACCCAGAACTGTGCTGGACTCCGGAGAAAACAGCACAGGGCTATAGCACTCCTGACTTTGATCTTCCACTTGAATTGAAAGACCAAATATATGAACATCACATTTACTCATTCAACAAATATTTACTGAGTCCCCAGCTGCTTCTGACTCCCCACAGGGCACCAATCTTTTGGAAATCTCTCACAGGGAAAGCCGGTCCAGAAAGCCTGCCTCACTGCAAACTCTCCTAGGAATAAAATCATCCTTCAGATGCTTGTGCTAGGCATGTAAGAGACATCTGCTATCAGGGAAGCCAGAGTTAAGCAGAAGAGGCAAGACTGGGATGCATCTGAGTAGGACATGGGGTGGAAAGCCCCAGCACCCCCTAGAAGAACAGTGAAGGGCAATGTCCATCATAGGTGCCATGCAAAAAAGCAGAGATGTTGGAATCTAGCTGGCACAGGTTTGACTCTAGCTCCCCGACTTCCTACCTGTGTGACCTTGGACAATTTACTTAAGTAACTTAAAGTAACTTACTTAAATTCTGTGAGCCTCCATTTCCTTATTTCTGAAGTGGAGGTAACAATACTTACCTACCTCACAGGGTTATTATGAGAATTAAAAGCACGCAGCTCAATGTCTGCCATGTAATAGATGTTCGATAAACGGTACCCATCACTATTTTTGGTTTACCCTTAAGCATAACAGGAGTCAAAACATGTCTTAGCTGACTGTAACAGTGTGACTCATAGGTATTTTCGTTTTGTCTTTACTCTCTGTGCTGGTCCTTCCATATCTCAGAGTGAAGTAAGGTAATATGAAAAGTCTCCATGTCCAAGCATCAAACGCTTGATCCTGGGATGTGGGGTGGGAGCTGAGCTCACTGAAACATGGGGCTCAAGAATCTAGAGGACCAGGCACGGTGGCTCACTCCTGTAATCCCAGCACCTTGGGAGGCCAAGGTGGGTGTCTATCACTTGAGCCCAGGAGTTTGAGACCAGAGTGGGCAACATAGGGAGACCTTGTCTCTACAAATTAAAAAAAAAAAAAAAAAAAAAATAGAATCTAGGGACCTGGAATTCAATCCAAACCTCCTCCCTGCCCTCTCAACTCTGGGTCCTCACAGACTTCCACCCCTCCCCATGCCCTCTTCCCTTCAGAATGAGACAGATGAGAGCCAGATCCAGATGGCAGGTGGAGACGTGGAGCTGCCCCGGGAGCTGGCCAAGATGATCGAGGAGGACACGGAGGAGGAGGAGGAGAAGGCCTCAGTCCTCGGGCAGCTGGCGAGCCTCCCTGGCTTGGACCTGGGCTCACTCAAGGACAAGGCCCAGGCCACACTGGGGGACCTCAAGCAATCAGCTGACAAGTGCCACGTCATGTGACCACTTCCCCGGGGTTACCCACTGGGCTGGCCAGAGGGCTGGACCCCCATGAGGGCTAAGAGTGTGTCAGCTTCCAGGGACCCACACTCCATTTGGGGCCTTGTTTTCCCTGCCTCATCCTAGTTCCAAAACCTGTCTCATCCATGCCCCAAGCCTGTCTACAGGGAGCAAAGTCTCCATCTTCACCCGACCCTTCAGGACCCTCCCCACCAGCTCAGCCTGTGGAGCCCTCCCAAGATTGTAGGAACAGGTCCATCCATCCCTCGCTGACCACGGCCCCAAATTCCTGCACCCACAGAGAGACACACAATGACACAAAACCCCTGGCACGTTCAGAGACAGAAGCCCCAGATGCATCGCGGCACACACAGACACACACACAGGCCAGCCCCCCTGCGTCTCCAGCCCCTTCAGACGCCAACACTCAAGATACTCTGAGAGAGCTTGGGCAGATAACCTGGGCAGACAGGAGGCTGAGCCTTATTGCATCATCTGTAAAATGGGAATGGCCTGAATGATTTCTGAGGCTCTTTCTGGCTTGGCCTCTCAGAGCCAAGCACACACCCCTCCTTGGGCAGGGTAGCAGCTGCCGCCACAGCCTCGTGGCTGCCACTGTGGGCTCTGGGAGCCGAAGCGATGCTGTGTGAGAGGCAGGGTGCCAAGGATGAAGCTGGCACTGAACAGTAAGCCCAGGCAGCTCTAGGCCTTCTCTGGGCCCAGGGCCCAGCCAATTTCTGTTCTGTTCCTGTAGAACTCTCTCTGGATTCCATAGCTGGAATCTCCTCTCCTAGCTCAGTGAAAAATAAAAATCCCAAATGGTGTGCCTACCTTCTTACTGGCTTCCAGGAGTCTTAAGGTTCACAGCCCCCCGAGCCTGCCTTAGAGGGGCGTCCTCCGCCCCCCACCGACAGCTTCACAGGAGGAAGGAGGCATCCAGCGCTAGGAGTGGAAGCGTCTCCAGCTCTGTTCTCTTGGGGCCCTGGGTGAGGGTGGGGTCTGGGGCCTATGGAGCAGGTCTGGGCTTTGAGGAGGATGGAGCAGCCCCAGTACGTGGGGGAGACAGGGCCTCTGGGGCGTCACTGAGACCACAGGTGGGGCCAGGGCTGGAGTGCTGCTGTCTCGGGTGCCTGTGCCTACACCCCTCCTCACCCTGGAGATGGAAGGTGTGCAAAAAGCAAGCAGGCACAGCAGCTGCATTCCAGCCCTGCACTAGTGACTCTGAGCGTGTCCTCTCCTTCCTCCAGGCTGTCTTGCCCCTGTAAAATGAAGAATCCCCCTCTGCGCCAAATAGTAAATAATACACGCTTCAAAGGGTGACCATTTATAAAGCCCTTGGCATATGACAGACCATATCAATAAACATAATTCATTCTTCCAAAAAAAACGAAGAGCACAGATCTCATCCCGCTCACCTGTGGCAGGGGCCAAGGGGCAGGGAGCAGGGGAGGTTTGTTTAAGAAACCAGCCAGGAAGCTTGCCAAGCTGATTGTCCCCTGGGGCCCGGGCAGGAGGAAGGTGCTACAGGCTAACTCCAGGTGCCCACTTTGGAGTCCCGGGCCCAGCCTGTGGGGAAGGCAGCCAAGGTTTACAGGCAGGAGCAGCCATCTGAGGATTGGGTTTCAAGGGCAAAGTTTCCATGAGGTCTTCTTTGTAAAATAAGAACAAGGCACATCGAACTTGTTCAGGAGTCCATGGGGAGCTGGAAGAGGGGAGACAGGCCAGGGAGGGACACAGGCCCAGCCCCGTCTGCCGCTTGGGCTGTCTCGCTTGGTCTCACTCTCCTGAGTGTCCCCAGGGAACAGGCCTGGGCCTCTGCTGCTCCCAGGCTGCCCCCAGGCCAGGGCCTCCTCCTGACCTTCTCAGAGCTGGAGGAGACCCAAGCCAGAGCCCCAAGCCGGGTAGGGGGGTCATGGGTTGCCTCCGCAGCATCAGCAGTGAGGCCCACGTCAGCACTCCACCCTCTGGGGCCTTCTACCTAATGGGATTGGACAGACCCCTTCCCCCTCAGTGCTTTGCAGGGCTGAGACCGAGAGGCAGGGGTGGCGGGCAGTGGGGGCTGGGGGACTGAACCCTGTCAAAGCAGGGCTGGTTGTAACCTGGATTAAGGATTGGGAGAGGGCTAAGCCCCCATATTTTTCTTCTTCACCCTGTGAATGGAACCCCAAGAAGCCCTGACTGGTTTGCACTATCCCTGGAAAGAGGTGGAGGAGGCTGCGGGGCTCAGGCAGGGATGGACAATGAGGGCAGGCTGAGGGGTCCCCAGCTCTGTTGGGCATACCTGGCCTCCCCTATCCCTTCCCCTCCCCATCAGCCCTGCAATCTGGGTCTCTGTCAGTCCACACCCCTCTCACCTGTGTGCCCTCACCCCCCGCCGCTCTCCCGGCTCAGAGCCTGTCCTGCACCTGCCTGAAGTTGGGGGCCAACTTGACCCAACTGAAGCTCCTCCTCTGCACCTGCCCCCCGCTCCCAAGCCCGAGGGCCCTGAATACACCGACTATGACTCTCTTCCCAAGCTGTTCCTACCGTCTCTTACTTAGACAATCAAATGTCTAAATAGGACATTTACACAGTTGTCCTGTGACTGGTCCACCCACCTGGTGTGATGTGAGGGCCACAGTCATTTGCCGTCAAAACTTTGCATTTCACCCTCTGCCTAGGACCCCATTATACCCCGTATTTAGGACTCTGGTGTTCCAGGCCCTCTCCTACCTCCTCTCCCTCCCTCCGTTTCTTTTCCCCTTTCCTTCCTCCTTAGTACCCTTGCGGGCAGTCTGAGCCTACACGAAATGTTAAAAGGCGGTTAAGGCCAGGCTCGGTGGCTCACGCCTGTAATCCCAGCACTTTGGGAGGCCTAGGTGGGCAGATCACCTGAGGTCAGGAGCTTGAGACCAGCCTGACCAATGTGGGGAAAATCCACCTCTACTAAAAATACAAAATTAGCTGAGCGTGGTGGCGCGTGCCTGTAGTCCCAGCTACTTGCGAGGCTGAGGCAGAAGAATTGCTTGAACCTGGGAGGCGGAGGTTGCGGTGAGCCGAGATCGCGCCATTGCACTCCAGCCTGGGCAACAAGAGCAAAACTTGGCCTCAAAAAAAAAAAAAAAAAAAAAAAAAGGAAAAGAAAAAAGGTGGTTAAGAGAGCCCCTCCAACCCCCCTAAATCCCTTCAGCGGGAGAGAAGAGTCAGAGATGGTCGCCTGTCCCGCCACCTCTTCCTCTCAGGGGCTCTGGTTTCACAATGTACAAGATGTCAAAGGCACTCTACCCAAGGAGCCTACAGTCCCCTGCCTTCCACCCACCTGGACAGCTCAGGCCCAGTTCCCAGCAGGAAGAGGGTGCCGAGAGAACAAGTGACTTTCCCAAGGCCAGCTGGTCCCCAGGGAGGAACTGGGGAGGGTGACCAGGGCTTGGAGCGCGGAGGAGCTCCCGTTCCCTCAACAGCCAGATGGTTCCTCCTCAGACACCGGAGGCCCCAGGCAGGCGCTGGGGACATCTGGGACATGCTTGTTAGCTGAGCTGAGCTGCTGACAGTGCCTGTTGACCCAGCTGACACTCAGCTGTGAGGCGGAGCTTCTGTCTTCTCTCCCACAGACCTGAGGGGTTGGGGGCCCACTGCCGTGCCTCACACCCAGTGCCCACCAGGCAGAACTGGTTTGAGAGCAGGGGAGCAGCAGCACCACTGAGGTGGCCTTAGCCTCATTCAGCAGGAGCTGCGCCTGCGTGTGTGGGGAGCCGGTGGGGGTTTGGGAGCCTGCGCATGGCTTTCTTGTCTGTGGGATCTGCTGTGTGCAGGTGCAGGTATGTGTTCCTCTGGGGAAGCCGTCATGGACGTGCTCCTTGTTGGACGCAGCCTCAGGCCCCAGCCTCCTTGTTGGACCACTGCCCTTTCAGGGACCGCTGGGACAGCAACCTGGCCTCTGGGGACAAGAGCCTTTCTAGATGATCTTTCGCAGGAACGAGGGTTCTATGTCCTTTCCCACATCCGGGTAAAGACGGTAAGGAAGGGCCAGCTGGACACAGGGACACCTGGGTCCCTTTATGTGCTCCCGAGGCCCATGTGCATCTGCCAGGGCTGGTGGTTAGAAAGTTCAGGTGCCCCGGCTTGCTGCAGGGCTGGCTCTGTGCTTGGGTGACTGATGGAGGTGGCAGGATAGGGCTGTCCCCTGAACGTTGCTGGGAGGTAGCCGTCCTGCTTTGGGCACCTTCGGAGTGTTGAAAGTAACAGGTGAAAACAACTCTGTCCCCTAAAAAGGAAAACATGACCTTCGGAAAGTGGTCTGCACGTTTCCTACAGGCCTCTGCCATTAGAATCAAGCCCTCCCCGCCTCACCCCAGCCTCCGACCGGGCCACCTCCCTGCTTGGCAGGCGGCTTGGACACAGGACCAATCTAGAGGCCATCCAGATGCTTTGTTCAAGGACGGCCCCTTCCCAGGGGTTCCTCCAGCAGCCTCAGTCCCCAGGCCTTTCGTGTACTGAATCCTCTCTGTGGGGGCCCACTGCTCTCCACACCGACCTTCATAATAACTTCAGGCTTCTGTTCTCAGCCAGCCAATGCAGTGACCACAAATAAACAGCTGGAACTGGTGGGCCAACCCTCTCTCCATTGCCCTTCATTCATTTCTCTAGTCTTCCATCTCATCTTTCATTTCCACTCCTCTTTTGAGACGGAGTCTCACTCTGTCACCCAGGCTGGAGTGCAGTGGCACAATCTTGGCTCACTGTAACCTCTGCCCCCCGGGTTCAAGCAATTCTCCTGCCTTAGCTTCCTGAGTAGCTGGATTACAGGTGTGCACCACCACACCCGGCTAGTTTTTGTATTTTTATTTATTTATTTATTTATTTATTTATTTTTTGAGACGGAGTTTCGCTCTTGCTGCCCAGGCTGGAGTGCAATGGCGCGATCTCGGCTCACCGCAACCTCCGCCTCCTGGGTTCAGGCAATTCTCCTGCCTCAGCCTCCTGAGTAGCTGGGATTACAGGCACACGCCACCACGCCCAGCTAATTTTTAGTGTTTTTAGTAGAGACGGGGTTTCACCATGTTGACCAGGATGGTCTCGATCTCTTGACCTCGTGATCCACCCGCCTCGGCCTCCCAAAGTGCTGGGATTACAGGCTTGAGCCACTGCGCCTGGCCTGTTTTTGTATTTTTAATAAAGACAGGGTTTCACCATGTTGGCCAGGATGGTCTCAATTCCCTGACCTCGTGATCTGTCTGCCTCGGCCTCCCAAAAGTGCCGAGATTACAGGCATGAGCCACCCCCTCCCATCTTCTCAATTCATCCACTCAACCAGGTCCATTCATTCCCCTCCTGTTCCCTCACTTTATGTATTGAGGCTTTTTTGTCTGGCCCATTTCCAGAGATAATCTGAAGTACATTTCTCTCCCTAGATCTGAAAATCACATTTTATTGTATTCTTTTTTTTTTTTTTTTTTTTTTTTGAGACGGAGTTTCGCTCTTGTTACCCAGGCTGGAGTGCAATGGCGCGATCTCAGCTCACCGCAACCTCCGCCTCCTGGGTTCAGGCAATTCTCCTGCCTCAGCCTCCTGAGTAGCTGGGATTACAGGTGTGCGCCACCATGCCCAGCTAATTTTTTGTATTTTTAGTAGAGACGGGGTTTCACCATGTTGACCAGGATGGTCTCGATCTCTCGACATCGTGATCCACCCGCCTCGGCCTCCCAAAGTGCTGGGATTACAAGCTTGAGCCACCGTGCCCGGCCTCCATTTTATTGTATTCTTACTGTATGCCATGCGGCGCACGTGCAGAATCTCATTACAAATTCTCATGGGGCCCTTATCCTCAACCTCATTTTATGAAGAAATAGGCTAATCAATGGATCCCAAACTTCAAGGCCAAGTAGCAGAGCCAGAATTCTAGCACAGTCATCCCCAAACTTTTTACACAGGGGGCCAGTTCACTGTCCCTCAGACCGTTGGAGGGCCGCCACATACTGTGCTCCTCTCACTGACCACCAATGAAAGCGGTGCCCCTTCCTGAAGTGCGGCGGGGGGGTGGGGGCGGATAAATGGCCTCAGGGGGCCGCATGGGGCCCACGGGGCCGTAGTTTGGGGACACCTGGTCTAGCAGCTACTCCTGCCCTCTGGGACACTGCTCCACACTGACCCCCAACGGCCAGGCCAGGGCTTTAGGGAAACTAGTTCCCAGAGTCTGTTCCAGTCCTGGTACGGAAACCCCGGGATAACTGAGCCACAGGGGTGGGGTGGGGGACACGTGGGTAAGTCTAAGGAACTGCTCCCCTCCTCCTCCCAACAGGTGCTGGTCAAACTGACACCTGGGAGTGTGTGGGGTTGAGGGAAGGCCAGGGTACACAGCCTAATGGAAACGAAGTCCCTGGGGGCTGGGTGTGAGCGTGACACCTCCAAAGATGCCCCTTCCTGGCCGGGCACGGTGGCTCACGCCTGTAATCCCAGCACTTTGGGAGGCCAAGGCAGGTGGATCAGAAGGTCAGGAGTTGGAGACCAGCCTGGTCAACATGGTGAAACCCCATCTCTACTCAAAATATAAAAATTAGCTGGGTGTGGTGGTGTGCGCGTGCCTGTAGTCCCAGCTCCTCAGGAAGCTGAGGCAGGATAATCTCTTGAACCTGGGAGGCGGAGGTTGCAGTGAGCCGAGATCGTGCCACTGCACTCCAGCCTGGGTGACAGTGAGACTCCGTCTCAAAAAAAAAAAAAAAAAAGATGCCCCTTCATCCCAGTCCAGCTCACTGCTCCCTTACTGGCCCAGGGCAGGAGGGGGTAGGAGACCAGGAGATCCTGTGTGGGGTGCGACAGTGTGTGGTGTGGAGGGCAGAGCATTTTAGAAGATTGCAGTCCTGAAGCCGAGCTGAGCAACGTTCCTCAGGCCTGCAATCCTCTCTACGACGGTCGCCCGGGTGTGGGCAGGAACGGCCCTGGTCAGGCTTTCTCCTGGATCACTGGGGGCTGAAGGCAGATGCAGCTATCATTCTCAGCATCCGCCTGCAGGCTGAGGCCTCCCTAGCCCTACCTCAGCTTCCCCAGCTTTTGCTGCAGTCTTTCTTGCCCCAGCCTGCAGGCAGCAGCCACCCCTCTTGTTCTTGTTACCGCAAGAAGAGAAGTGCAAGTAGAAAAAATAATTTAATAGAGAAACAATGAATTACACTCTTTATACTCAGCCTCCTGCAGGGAGGACAGACAACTCTTGCCCAAGAAGGCATTTAAGGGTAGAAGGACTAGAAATCACCAACACCTGCTGATTATTTAAAAGAATCTCAAACACGGTCTTTCTTTTCCAGGTTAAATTCACTTTGTTCTCCTAAGTGCCCATGTCGTGGGCTGTGGAGGTATCAGCCCCATTGAAGAGATGGGGAGACCCAGACCCAGAAAGAAGGGGCTTGCCCAGGGCTTCACACTGGGGTAGTGGCAAAGCAGGCCTAGAAGTGGGTAGCCTGGAGTGTGCTGGGTCAGACCGTCCCCAGGTCTCCCTGTCCCCAGGCTCAAACTCCAGCACAAGGCCTGCAGTGTGGCTAGTGTGGTCCCAAAGAGGAACGGAGCTGGGAGGGATGAGGACCAAGGACCCTGCCTCAGTGCTCACTAGGCCAGGGCAGGAACAAGGCAGGGCTTCTTAAATTTGCCCCGCCCTTACGACTTTCATGCTTGGAGGATTAACTGAAAGTACCAAAATGGCTGGCAGGTGTGCATTCCCAGGAAGACTGGTGGGTTCTGGGGGGTGGGTGGTCCCTGAGGGGTGCTGGAGTGCCTCATTCCAGTGCAAGGAGGACCTGAGGTCGAATAAGAGGTCCCAGGAAGGGCAGGCCAGGGGCACAGCTGCCTGCTGGCAGGGCGAGGGCAAGCACAGAAGTGCCCTGCAGGGGCCCCTGCCCTCTTCTCCGAGCAAAAAGCCATAGATGGCTGCATGCCCCAAAACGGACAGACACAGGACCCAGTAACCAGCGAATGAATAACAAAGGTCTCGTGAAAGAAATGCTGTTCTCCCAGAGTCCTGCCCTCCCCTCCAGCATACAGCATGGCCATCAAACCCTCTGCCGGGTGCAGAGTCACTTGAGGGAGGCTGGGGACTCTGGGATGAGGGGTCTCAGCACTGTGCATCCAAGAAGCCTGCTTGCCAGTGCTGCCGTGGGCTGCTTCATCCTGGGCGCCAGCCTGGGTCAGGCTCTGGCCCAGATGGTTCACATCTGTCCAGTCATTCTTCTGGGGTCACTGCAGGGAACAAGCTGGGTGGGAGGGGGACAATGGGGGAGGACCAGTCTCAGGTCTTTGGTAAGGGAGGCAGAGCCCAGGACCCCCAGCCACCACCCCTCCTTGGATGGAGGATCGACCCCAGGGCAGAACTCACAGCTACGAACAGACTCCGACAGCCCCTCTTTGTCCACCGTCTCAGCTTCCCAGCGAGATTCCCTCATCTGTGGGATGTGAAGACAGTGCAAGGGGTGAAAGGCAGCCAGAGGCAGTCACAGCACAGTGTTGAGCAAGTGAGAGAGTGAAGGACAGAGACGGAGACCGGAGGCCTTCAGAGGAGGCAGGAGAGCAGACATACACCAGCAGGCCGGGGATGACAGCCACAGGCAGAAACGATCAGAACCCACAGACCCTGGCCCCAGCGTGGCCTCCACGTGCCCACCTTGACCTGCTCCTTCAGGTATTCAGCTCGGGCCATAAGGTTCTGAACCTGCCAAGGAAAGATACGCCCTTGGGTGTGGGGGAGAGTTGTGGGGAGGGGGGTTCAAAGGGAATTCCTCCTCACCCCGATGCTCTCCTGAACCCTCTGCCCCATCAGAACAACCTGCCTCCTGAGTTCCTTATCTGCTCCTTCCTTCAGGAAGCCTTCCCAGACTTTCTGCTGCTGGGTTCCCAGATCCTCCACTGCCCTGTCTGAGCACCCCAGCCCTATGGTCCAACTTCCAGACTTGGAACACCCTGAGGGTGGGGCATTCCAGAGGAAACCCAAAGAGGGCCCCACAGATAAGAGCAGAGACAAGGGGAAGAGGAAGCCCCCCCAACGCTCTCAAGCTCAGTGGGCACCTCAGCGTGAAGCAGCTCCCGCCTCCGGCCCGGGGGCTCCGCTGTAAAGAGAGGGAGTGTGGTGAGGGCACAGCGGCAGGGGCCATGTCGGGGGCACAGATGGCGGCCCTCACCTGCCAGCAGCAGCAGCAGCTCCTCCAGGCTGTGCTGGTACAGGTCTAGGGCATCCTGCTCCCCGCCGGCAGCCTCCTCCTGCAGCCACATGAATACCAGGCCACTTAGGGTCACGGCCGGGATACCTCCCCGCCCCCCTGGACCCCTCCCACTGGCACAAACCTTGGCCATGGCAGCTGAAGCCACTTCCAGGGCTGCTAGGAGGCGTGGCTTGTCCCGGGCCATCTCTGGGATGAGAGGAAAGCCTCAGGGTGAGGGGAGCCGACTGCCTGTTTGCTGCAGGATGCCTCTCCCCACCCGCCTCCCACTCAGGCTGTGGGGAGGTTTGCTGGGGTCCTGGGGTCAGCCAGGAGCCAGAGGCTACCTCTGAGCAGGTCTCGGGCAGACGTCCCCTGCCTCAGCAGGGCCTGCTTGGAGGAGGAGACGATGGCCTTGAGCTCCTCGGCCCGGGACACGTACTGCCCCACCTGTAGCAAGAAAGGGCCTGAGGAGGGGCTGCCGCACCCGCTGCCCTTGCCAGAATCCACGTCCAAGATCTCCCTCTGGGTTGTTAGTGACTGCCCCAAGCTATAAACCTGTCAGGGGGCAAATGAGACTGGCCTGACCCATTCCCAGCTCTATGCTGCAAGAGAGGAAGCTCCAATTCTAAGAGAGCCATTCCCCAGGGGCCCTGAGACCGCTGGGCCTTACCCCCTGCCCCCCAACTTCCTCATGGGGACTCTCACCCACCTTTGCCTTAATTGCCTCCTTCCGCTGGGCATCCACTTCATCTGCAGAAAGTGGGGCTTCACATGAGGAATCCGGGGGAACCCCTGCCCCACACCGAACCCTCTGGAATCCCTCAAAACACAACATTCCAGGTTTATGCTCTGCTTTATCGCCTACAAAATTCTCGATAGAGAACTTCTGGAATCCACCTACTGCAGCCACGGCTGACTCCCATCCCTGCTGCACCCAGGGGCTCAGGCATGGCCTATGACTCACAGTGCAGGGCAGGTACAAAGAAGTCCAGAGCCTTGCAGTAGAGCGATAAGGCAGCTGCTGCGTCCCCCTCTTGGTCTTTCTTCACAGCCTGCACCACCAGCGCGGTCTGGGGGATGGGCAGATCAGGGGTCAGGTCCACCTCCCTACCCTCCCACGCTCACCAGGATGGGAGATCAAGCCCCCTGAGCCCGCCCTCCGTCTCTGTTGGGTGAGTCACCTAGTCACCACCAAAGTGGGGAATGAGACTTCCAGCCCACCCGCAGCCCACCCCGTCCCCACCCGCCTGCTCACTGCTCGAGCCAGACTCTCCCTGCTGGGCATGTGCTCCAGATCCACCCAGGGGTGCGCAAAGAAGTCCTGGAAGGAGATGCGCCGGCTGGGGTCCCGCTGCAGGAGCCGCTGCAGTAGGTCCCGGCAGTCTCGGGACAGCAGGGGCCGCAGGGGGAGCTGCAGGGAAGGGGACGGCAGGGACAGATCACACTGGGCTCCAGCACCTACACCCCTAGCCCAGAGGTCTGTGAGGAACCCCAGAGATACATGTGGGACAGGTGAGGAACCTGAGACCAGGGAGGAACAGGGTGGGTCACGATGATGGCACCAGTGGGGAGCCAGGCTTCCAGCCTTGGGCTCCTGGTGCACCCATGCCGGAGCCCTGAGCTGAGCTGGAATTGTGTTTACGGGTCCTTATTCCCTCCCTGGACTATGCTTCTGGGAAGGCTGGGCTTGGCTCTGTTTTGGCCTTCTCTACACAAGAGCCTGCAAAATAGGCCCTGTGCTGCCTACTGGGGGCTGATCAGAATCCCTGGGACAGCCCCGCACCTCGACTTCCAGCCTAGAGCATGCCCCTCCACTATGAAGGCAGCCTGGAGCCCATACTCCAGTCTGTGCAAGTGAGACGGAGGTCTAAACTCTCAGGGCCCTGACTCCCTCTGCCCCCTCCAAATGGTCTCTAAGGTCCTGCTAGACCCACCTCGATGACCCGGTTGCTACGGATCTTCTCTTCCAGCTCCGAGAACGACCTGGAGGCAAAGGGGGGCTGCCCAAAGAGGGCTTCTGTGGAAGGGAGGCAGAGCAGAGGCTGGAAGGGGATGTGTCAAGCCTGGCCTGGCCCACACCTCCGGAGGAGGGGGCCTGATGCCCCTCAGCAAGAGCCCTGAGCCAGCAGTCAGTTTTCATCAGAACCCTTCAGGAGTGGCCCAGAGAGGAAACAGTGCAGGCCTCAGGGTGAGGCAGGGAAAAGGGGTCTCACCATAAAGGATGACTCCTACGGACCAAAGGTCCACGCGGGCATCATACTGCCGCTGGCACACCATCTCGGGGGCCATGTAGAGGGGGGAGCCACGGAGCACGTGCTTCTCATCCCACGGGGACATGTGCTGTGCGAAGCCAAAGTCTGCAAGCAAGAGGCCAGGCAGCAGGGCTCAAATTCCAGCTGCTTCTGCTCCTGCTCCTGGTTTATAAAGCCTTACCCTGGGCTCCTCTCCACCCTCCAGACCTGCCAGGATCAGCCCTATTTCCAAGCCTCTGCTCATCATTAGCCTGGAACACCTTCCTATGTTTGCCTCTGGGGTGTAAAACCTACCCATCCTGCACAGCTCCCTCAGCACCTTTTCCTAGGAAGCCCACCTGATGACACCAGCTACATGGATAAGCCCCCACCCTCTCACTGTCCCCCCCAGGCTAGGTTTTACCACAGCATCTGGCCTCCAGCGTCAATTCTTGTCCAAATTTTATCAAAGATCACCACTTCCTACTCTCCCACCACAAACCCTCCTATGTGGCCACAGATGGGAGTCACAGACTTGAGCCCCAATTCTGATGACAGACGGAGTCCTGACCCTGAGCACAGTGATGCCTGATGCTGGTCACGCACTGAACACTGGCACTGTTCCCAGACTGAGCCCTCAACCTGGACACACAGTGAGTCCCACCTCTGGCCACAGACTGAGCCCAAACTCCACCCATTATGCTGCTGGACTTGAGCATAGGTAGCCTGAGAAAAGTTCTGCCTTTTGATGACAGGGCCCAACCCCAGACTTCCCATCCTGTTCCTGTTTGAGGACAAAATAGAAAGCTCCCTGAGAACCAGGGCTGCTGAGTGAGCCCAGGCAGAGGGAGGCCTCTGCAGTCTCCAGACCTCAATCCCTGCTGCTCCAGATAAAGACCTGCCAGCTTTAGGTGGGGCTTCTCCGAGGAGCTCAGCAGAATGTTCTGTGGCTTCAGATCCAGGTGAGAGATATTCCGTTCGTGCAGGAACTGCAGGGCGCTAGCTGCGAAGCAGGACCCATGAAGAGAGACAGGTCAGAGCCTATTCCCACTTACCTCTCACCTCCTGGGCTCCCATGTGCCTCCTCGCACATCTGCTTCCTCAAGCCTGCACAACCCCAGTTCCTGCCTGGCTGGTCTAATGTTTTCCACATAAGCACAGGGACCTCACCACTTCTGGGAGTTTGCCACCCCACCCGGAGTGCCCACCTTCCTCCCCTCTTCCCCTTCACAAGTCTCCCCGCCTCCCAGAAGCCTCCCAGGAGGCCCAGCCCTTGAGAATCTTGCTCTTTTCCTTGGCACAGCACTTGAGTCCTACTCACAGGGCTCTGGAATGTTCTGCAAGGTCCTTACATTATGTTCTGCATGTGGAAGCCTGAACACCCCACAGAGGAGGGCTCCTCCCTCATCTCACCCACGGCATCCTTGAGCAAGGGTTGACTGAATGAGATAAACAGGACCCCAAAATTCCGGGCTGTGCAGGAGGCAACTGCAACGTGTGTCAAGTCTCTAAGCCTGCGGGAGGGGTGTGATGGTGCGGGGTGGGGGGGGATGCAGAGAACAAGGGACAGAGTGTCAGGCTGGGGTCACAGGCCTTTACCTAATTGCTGCATGAAGACACGAGCCACCTTCTCAGGCAGAATCCTGCGGCTATGGATGAAGCGAGACAGGTCGCCCCCTGCGCAGAACTCCATGATGAGGTAGATATTGTCACTGTCCCACTGTGGTTAGAGGTAGAGAGGCAGCCTGAAGAGAGTGTCCCTTCTCCAGCTCCCTTTGGCAGCGGCCCCGCCCCGGGCTCGCACCTGGAAGTCTTTCAGCTGCACAATGTGGGGGTGTCGAATGCCCTTGAGGATCTCAATCTCTGTCAGGAGGTTCTCCACCGATGCCTTGTTCAGACTTTTCTTGGCTACACACTTTATGGCTACCACCTCACGAGTGTCCTTCTGCGGGAGAGGAGATTTGGGGGCTCTGCCTTGAGGGGGCCCGGATCCTTGCCTGGCTGGAAAGGTTCCGTCTGGTTCCCTCTGTCCCCCCACCCTGCCCTATTGCACACCAGCACCGGGCTTCCCAGTTTTCCCTTATGAGGCCAGTGAGGCAAGTGGGCTCTGGAATCCTGGCTTCCCGACCCAGCCTGGTCTTTTCCAACCCTCGGCTAGAAGACCCATTTCTTTGCATTCTAGAGTGCCCCTGACAGTGGCCTGTCACTCAGGGGTCTAGAACCGCCCACTCTGCCTCCTAACTGGCTCCAGTCCCAGACTCCTCCCAGCCCACCAGGTAACCTGTTTTGAGCCTGTTCAGCCACTGACCCTGCAGGTGGATGCAGGTGCGCTCGCTTTTTGAGACCTAAGCGTGGCGGTCGGCTCCAGCCTCCGCCGAGGATCGGGCTGGGGCGAGGCCGGCCTCCCGCCCCTAACTGCTCCCACGCTATCGCTAACCTCTCGGAGTCTCCCCGGCTGACACCAGCCGGGCTCGCTCCGGGTTGGCGGGCACGGGGCCAGCGGCCGGCACCCACCTTGGCGTAGGCCTTGTACACCGTGGCGTACTTGCCGCTGCCCAGGCGCTCGGTGAGGATGAAGCCGTCCAGGCGCGGGGGGCCCCAACCGGGTCCCGCCATCCCGGCCGTCCGCGCCCGCGCCCGCGCCGGCGCTTCCTCGCTGCGGGCGGGGGTTCCGGTGGGGGGAGCAGGGGGCGGGGCGAGCGCGGGGCGGCTCCACGCGGCCCACAGCGCCGCCCGCCGGAAGTGCAGCGCACAGCGGTGACGCTGCTTCGCCCCGCCCCCCGCGCCCTTCCTTGGTCCGCGCGTCTCCCGGGGTCACGCGCCTTTCCAGTTCCTTCGAGGCCCACGAGGGGAGACGGAGGCGCCTGCGAGCCGAGAAGTGAGCGGAGGACGGCCGGCGCGGCCTCCGGGGACTCCCAGCGGGCGCAGAGGCATCTGGCGATCGCTCACTTGTGGGCGCGGGCGGCGGAGCGGGGGTGTGGCGGCGACGGCGTCCAGGAGGCGCCGCCCCGGGACCCGCAGCTCTGAAAGCCGAGGTACTGGGACGAGAAGGCATCGTTGGAAGAGACCGCGTTGGCTTCCCGGAGCTTCCAGCTGCTTTTCACTCTTCTGAGGAAGGGCCTGGACGACCTGTTCATTGCATCTCAACTGTCCCCGCTCTCCAGGCCTCGCCGCAGCAGCGCCCAGCCCCGAATCCTATGGGCTGCCCCTTCCTCCCAAGTCCAGCAGACTTGAGAACCAGTGTGGTCTGAAAATGTCTTTTTATTTTTATTCAAGCACAAAAATGGAGACATATACATTTTGTACATGAAGGGCGGGGGGGGGGGGGAAATACCAGAAAGGAGTTTATAAAACCCCAGCCCCTGCCAGTATCATTCATTGGCTTGGGGACTGCCTGAGCGGCTGGAGGCCTGTGGCTGCCTCGGGCCCAGGGCAGGAGGCTAGTTTTGTGGAAAGGCTCCCCCAGTCCACACACCCGGCCAGCAGCCTTGAGGGATAGGATGCAGGTTTTAAGGATGGACTTCTAGGTGCCCATCACAGTGACACACGCCCTGGGGTGTAAGCCAGACTCCACTCGGGAATTAGGGGGCCTTCCAAGAGATGGCTTATAAGTCTCTGCTGAAGGATGCGGTTCTGGACTGGCCCTGCCCTTCCTGAAAGTCTGGATCCTGCTGATGGGGGACATGGGCGGGGCGGGTAGCATCTGAGGCAGAGGCAAAGGCAGCTGTCCCTCGGAGGGAGGAGAAGCCACAGCAAACCGCCAGACCAACCACATCAGGACAGGCAGAGCCCCACCCGCCTAGAAGACGCTGGGCAGGACAGCTTGGGGTCAGTGTCCTTGGTCCCTCCCCAAATCCCACCAACCACATTGCACGTTCAGAAAGTCTAAAGAGAGTAAGGCTCAGCAAGGGAGCTCCAGAGGGCTCAAAGTGCTGTCCCCAGCAGAAGCGTGCAGGGGGCTAAAGGGCTATGAATCCGTTTATAAGGACCATGAGGCAAGGAAGAGCTTGAGGCAACCAGCCTTCCCTGGAAGCCTGGAGAGCACTCGAGGGACCTGGGGAGCAGGGCTGTCTGCCAGAGCCTCTGAGAGGCTTATTCCCAGTCTGGGCAGAAAGGGTTGGGCTGTGTCTGAGAAGCCAGATTCAGGCCAGGCCTGCAGGGTTTGGGGAGTCGAGGCCCAGGACCCTGGCAGAAAACTCCAGCTGGGGTGGACCCAGGTCAGCCAGTGATCCCAACTGTGGGGGTGTCTGTGTGTCTACAAGGGTAAGAGAACTTAAGTCTCACTGCTTCCAGAGACAAAAGAATCCTGCCAAAGCACCACCAGAGAAGGAAAGATGGCTTTGTTTTTTGTGTGTGTAAAAAAAAAAAAAAAAGTCTCTGTCCCTCCCTCCCCTTCCAGGGAGAGCTGGTCACTGAGGGAGGAGGCAGAGCCACAGCAAGACCCCCTCGAGGTCTGTGCTGGGCACAACCACCACCAGATAAGGCACCCACGGATAAGTGCAGCTCAAGGCAGGTGAGAGAAGAGCTGAAGCGGAGAGAAGAGAGTCAGAAGGACTAATTTCCCTGGAAGGCTCCTTGGGCAGCCGATGAAGCAGCTCTGTGGAAGGTTCGGCTGCTGAAGATGCCCTGGGAAAACTCCTCCTGAGCCTGCTGGAAGCTGGCCCCTGTCCGGCGGTACAGGGAGTGCACCTGGTGAAGAGGGGTGGGGTGAGGGGAGCCTGCCCTTTGGGCCCACCAGGAACCTAGACATCCAGGTTATACTCCCAAAGGGGTCACCAGGAGCCCAGCACTGCCTGACCTCCCACCCAGAGCCCTGGAGAAAGGTGCTGGACCTTTAGGGGGCCAGGAGGTCCAACCGTAGTCATGAAGAACATCTCATGGGAAGGGCAGGAAACAGGTACCTGCTTCCTCCCATTGGCTGTCAGCCCTGCCCACACCACTCACCCGCTGCAGGAGGAAGACTGAGAGCACGGCACAGAGGGTGAAGAAGCCAGCCACCACCATCATGATGACTGATACGGCTAGGGCATCCTGGCCCAGTGTAGACAGCGCTGCAATCCAACCGCTGCAAAGGGAGGAAGAGGCCAAGGGGAGCAAAGTGGGAGCGGGCCCCAGAGTCAGCATAAGGGGCTCTTCTCTAAGTGGCTGCTATGTCCTGATCATCACTGTGGCGTCTCCCCAAAGCACAGGGAGCCCTATGAGCCAAAAGCCCTTGGCCTGTTAGAGGCCAGACGTCCTCAAAGGCTGACAGGCCCACACTACCCCATTCAGACGGGGAATCTTCTGATTATGTGAGGTCTGAAAGGGGAATGTGGTTGCTGCCTTCACAGACTCAGAAGCAGCACTGGGCTGGGTACTGTGGCTCTTGCCTGTAATCTCAACACTTTGGGAGGCTGAGGCAGGAGGACTGCTTGAGCCCAGGAGTTCAAGACCAACCTGGGTAACAAAGAGAGGCCCTGTCTCTACAAAAAATTAAAAAAGTCTGGGTGCAGTGGCTCACTCCTGTAATCCCAGCACTTTGGGAGGCTGAGGCAGGAGAATCACTTGAACCTGGGAGGCAGAGGTTGCAGTGAGCCATGATCACACTACTGCACTCCAGCCTGGGCAACAGAGTGAGACCCTGTCTCAAAAAAAAAAAAAAAAAAAGATAGCACTGGGCTGGGCCTTCTGCTGCTGCTTTGAGGGTGGGGAGTATGGAACGCGTGGCTGCTCAATCCTGAGGACCCACCCTCTGGGAAGGAGGATCACTGGCCAAGTTGCTGTCACGTTTCTGAGCCCCATGTCCTCATCTGTAAAAGGGATAGCCTCATATTTCTTCAAAACTTACTACAAAGCTATAGTCACTAAAATGGTGTAGGGCTGGCATAAAGATAGACATAGATCAATAGATAATGGAAGAGAACCGAGATTACAGAAATGAACCCATACACCTATGGTCAAATTGTTATTATTATTATTATTATTATTATTATTATTATTTTTAAAGACGGGGTTTCACCATATTGGTCAGGCTGGTCTTGAACTCCCATCTCAGGTGATCTGCCCGCCTTGGCCTCCAAAGTGCTTGGATTACAGACGTGAGCCACCACGCCTGGCCTATTATTTTGAGACTGAGTCTTGCTCTGTAGCCCACGTTGGGCAGCAATGTCACGATCTCAGCTCACTGCAACCTCTGCCTCCCGGTTTCAAGCAATTCTCCTGCCTGAGCCTCCTGAGTAGCTCAGATTATAGGCACCTGCCACTGCTCCTAGCTAATTTTTGTATTTTTGTAGAGATAGAGGTTTGCCATGTTGGCCAGGCTGGTCTCGAACCCCTTTCTGACCTCAGGTGATCCACCCGCCTCACCCTCCCAAAGTGCCGGGATTACAGGTGTGAGCCACTGTGCCTGGCCAGTCAATTGATTTTTGACAAGAGTGCCAAAACCATTCAAAAGAGAAAGAATAGTCTCTTCAACAAATGGTACTGTAACAATGATATCTACATGCAGAACAATGAAGTTAAATACTTATTTCAACCACATACAAAAAGTAACATAGGCCAGGCATGGTAGCACCTGCCTATCATCTCAGCACTTTGGGAGGCCAAGGCAGGAGGATCACTTCAGGCTAGAATTTGAGACCAGTTTGGGCAGCATAGCAAGACTCCATCTCTACAAAAAATTTTAAAAATTAGCCCGGCATATGGTTGTACATGCCTATGGTCCTAGCTACTCAGGAGGCTGGGGCAGGAGGATCACTTGAGCCCAGGAGGTCAAGGTTATAGTAAGCTATGATTTTGTCACTGCACTCCAGCCGGGGTGACAGAGCAACACCATGTCTTTTTTTTTTTTTTTTTTTTTCCAAGACAGTGTCTTACTCTGTCACCCAGGCTGGAGTACAGTGGCACAATCTTGGCTCACTGCAACCTCCATCTCCCAGGTTCAAGCGATTCTCCTGCCTCAGCCTCACAAGCAGCTGGGATTACAGGCCTCGACCACCATGCCTAGCTAATTTTTTTTGTATTTTTTGTAGAGATAGTTTTGCCATGTTGGCCAGGCTGGTCTTGAACTCCTGACTTTAGGTGATCTGCCCACCTCGGGCAGGGTGGAGGGGCTTGAGTCTTCAAATTCAATCTGGTGGACTCTCGCCATACAATACCTTCTGCAAGAAAGCCCTCAACAGATACAACCCCTCAGTCTTGGACTTCCCACCCTCCAGAACCATGAGCCAAATAAACTTCTATTGTTTATAAATTACCCAGGGGGCCGGGCACAGTCGCTCACACCTGTAATCCCAGCACTTTGGGAGGCCGAGGCAGGTGGATCACAAGGTCAGGAGATTGAGACCATTCTGGACAACATGGTGAAACCCTGTCTACTAAAAATACAAAAATTAGTCGGGTGTGGTGGCGTGCACCTGTAGTCCCAGCTACTTGGGATGCTGAGGCAGGAGAATCACTTGAACTGGAGAGATGGAACTTGTAGTGAGCCGAGATCGCACCACTGCATTCCAGCCTGGGCAACAGAGGGAGACTCCATCTCAAAAAAAATAAACTAAATAAATAAATTACCCAGTGGGCAATATTCTGTTAAAGCAGCACAAAACAGACTAAGATAGTAAGTGAGGACATGGAGAAACTAGAATCCTCATACATTGCTGGTGGGAATGTAAAACCCTCAATAAGTTAAATATAGAATTACCGTATAACCCAGCAATTCTACTCCTACCTAGATAGATATCCAAAAGAAGTGAAAACAGATAAGCAAAAAACATGTACACAAATGTTCATAGCAGCACTATTCACAACAGCAAAAAGGTAGAAACAACCCAAATGTCCAACAACTGACAAATAACTAAAATGCAGAATATCTACACAAGAGAATATTATTCAGCTGTTAAAAGGAATGAGCTGCTAATACATACTACAATGTGGATGAATCTTGAAAACATGCTAAGTGAAGGAAGCCAGAAGCAAAAGGCACATACAGTATGATTCTACTTGTAGAAAACATCCCGAATAAGTAAAGCAGTGTCATGAGTAGTGCCTGCTTACTGGGTATGGAGTTTCCTTTTGGGGTGATAAACATTTTCTAGAACTAGATAGTGATGATCATACAACACTGTGAATATACTAAATGCCAGAGACTTACATAGTTTGAAGTTATTTCAGTGGTAAATGTTAAGTTTTATGTATATTTGACAATCAGTAAAAAAAAAAAATAATAATAAAAAAAAGTGGGATTATATCTACTCACCCATGGGTCTTATAAGACATGATGAAAAAAATGGTCACGGAAGGGCTTTGGAAAGGCATTAGGAGGCTGCAGAGCTCGGCGAGGTGGACCCAGGCAGGGCAGTGAGGGCAGAGCCAGGGCTGGAACTCAAGCCTTCTGATTCCCATTCCAGGTGCAAACAGCAGTCATGAATCACAGCTTTTCTACCAGGGTCTCACTTAGGTAACGAGCAATGAAATTGGGTCACTGGTCAAAAGGGACCAGATTAATGACAGCAGGGCACGAAGCATGAGAGGTGGCAGGAGGGCAGCATGCACTTGCTCGGAGGGCAAGGGGAGGCAGCCCTTCTCTTCCCCCACTGCTCAGGGCTTGCCAGCTCTGCCGGAGGGAGGGAACCAATAGCACCGCCCTTCCAGGCTCAGGCTGTCAGCCAAGTGCCAGTCTGACCTTTCTGCAATGCTCCCTGTGCACTGGGGCAGAAAGGAAAACACAGCCATCAGCTTTTATTTTGAGATTAATTTTGAGCTGAGGACTGAGGTACCCTGGAAACTCAAACCAGCCTTATGCTCAAAGAGGGCGGCCAGAAGAAGCCTGTCCAGGGGAGGTGAGGGCCCTGTCTCCTTAAGTTACAAGGCATCTGGAAAAAGTCGCAGCTCAGAGTCTGCAAAGGCCTGGGCATTCATCAGCCTCCGGGAGGGTGTGGCAGGAGAAGAGGCTGCGATCCAGGACAAGACATAGTCATGGCAGCCTAAAGATTCAAGACAAGTTCACTCACAACACCCTAGAAGATGGAAAGCAAGGAAAGATAGTGTTTTCGTGGGTTGTTTTTGTTGCTGTTGTTTTGAGACAGGATCTCACTCTGTCACCCAGGCTGGCATGCAGTGGTAGAGTCATGGCACATTGCAGCCTCAACCTCCTGGGCTCAAGTGATCCTCCTGCTTTAGCCCCACAAGTAGCTGGGACTATAGGTGCATGCCACTGCACCAGACTAACTTTTTAATTTTGGGTAGAGACGAGGTCTCCCTGTGTTTCCTAGGCTGGTCTCCTGGGCTTGAGTAATCTGCCTGCTTTGGCCTCCCAAGTACTAGGATTCCAGGCATGACCCACTGCACCCTACTGATAGTGAGTGTCTTTTGATGCTTTTAGTATCAAGGAGAAAAAAAAAAAAAAAAAGTGAGTGCTACTGAGGAAGAACTGGGGAGAAGGCCCAAGGCAGATCCGAGCTGGCCCTCGCCCACTCCCTGCCACGGGAAAAGCAGGGTCACCGGCGGGGCTTTCTGGGAGCTAGAAAATGGCAAGATAGGCTGAGCCCCACATCCAAAGCCTAATTCCCTCTGTGATGCCCAGGTCTCACCTGTCCCCCAGGCCAGGGATGCCAACCAACTGGATGATGTAGACCCCTATTTGACAAAAAAATACAAAGAAGAACACAAAGAAGCTGAAAGAGTTGTCGGACCTGTGGAGAGAGGGAAATGAGAAGTCACAAGAGGGCTTGGCCGTGGTCCTCAGCACCCTTACGTGCTGTGACATCTCTCCTCACCAGGAGCCAGGAGGCAGCACGGGCAAGAGACAGCGCTCCAGGGGCCCAGCCACACCACCCGTAAGGACACACACCCCACCCCACTCCACCATAATCAACAAGAGCTTGCCTTTCACTGCCTTCCAACTTAAGGCGTCAGTGCTTGACCCCTTCCTCAAAGAGCTGATAAAGTTGCTCCCCCAAAGAACAATATAAAAAGCCTAACACTGCAGTGAGCCAAGATGGCACCACTGCCCTCCAGCCTGGGCGACAGAGTAAGACTCTATCTCAAAAAAGCAAGTAAATAAAAAATAAAGAGCCTAACACTACATCTCCTGGAGTACCTGCATTTCATAACAGACAAGAAAAGCTAAGCCAAAGGTATAAATCTCTAATAATAAAACTGTATTAGATCAGGAATTTGAGACCAGCCTGGCCAACATGGCAAAACCCTGTCTCTATTAAAAATACAAAAATTCGCTGGGCATGGTGGTGTGTGCCTGTAATCCCAGCTACTTGGGAGGCTGAGACAGGAGACTGACTTGAACCTGGGAGGTGGGGGTTGCAGTGAGCCGAGACTGTGCCACTGCATTCCAGCCTGGGTGACAGAGTACAAGTCTGTCTCAAAAAAACAAAACAGGCCAGGCGCAGTGGCTCACACCTGTAATCCTAGCACTTTGGAAAGCTGAGGCAGGTGGATTACTTGAGGTCAGGAGTTCAAGACCAGCCTGGCCAACATGGTGAAACCCAGTCTCTACTAAAAATGCGAAAATTAGCCAGGTGTGGTCACACATGCCTCTAAGCCCAGCTACATAGGAGGCTGAAGCAGAACCATATGAACCCAGGAGGAGGAAGTTGCAGTGAACTGAGACAGTGTCATTGCACTCCAGCCTGGGCTGCAGAACGAGACTCCCTCTCAAAAGCAACCCAACAAAAACAATAGAACAACGAAAACAAAACAAAACACATACATCTGAGTGGAAGAAAAAATATTTGGGCAATAGGGGACACCAGACAAAACTCTCTCAAGAGCTGAGCACCTCCATCTCTGTGTCCTTGAGGGCGACATCACAGTGAGGGCTCAGGGCCTCCCATGGTACAGGGATGGTTCTGCTGCTACCCCTACCCCTCCTTCCCAGGGCCTGCTGGGCTCCCAGCCCTGAAAGCACCAACCCTGAGGTACAAATCCAGGACCCCCGGGGGTCTGTAAGGTGTATCCATTCATGTTCCCAGTATCTAGCTTAGGTGTTGGCGCTCAGTGAGTTACTGGGGAGCATCAACAGTCATGGAGAGAGAGCCCTGGAGAGCACTCATCTGACACTACCAGAGAAGCACACCCAGAGCCTCAGAGGGGAGCTCCCCAAAGAGTGTCCCCTCCCTCTTCCCAGTAACGGCATCAGCCAGACTGGGACCAGAAGGATGGATGGTCCCTTCTCTACGTCTCCCATGCCTGGTCCAAGGACAGGGCCCAGAGCAGACCTCAGGTACAAAAACTGAGGAACAGGGCCCCCAATCTCCGCTCTGGGTGGGAACGGGAAAGTGGATTTCCCTACCATTCTCTTTTGCTCTAAGACTTGGATAGGGTCCCAGGGTGTATAGCCCTTAGCCTGCTACCTTGGATGCCAGCCATAAAGTTTACCCCTTGCCCCAGCCTCACTCACCTAAAGGCCTTGTAGATGGGTCGGTACCAACAAAGGAAGGCACAGGGAGTGAAGATTAGAAACCACAGGATCGAGAGGCCAAAGTCCACTCCCTTGGAGCTGTTGCTTGAGAACCAGGCCAGGCAGGCAAGCAGGTTGAGAAACAGAGTCACTGAATGCACTGGGGAAGGGGACAGGACAGAGTTATGACTTGGGCCACAGTCGCTAAAGGGCTCCCGTGTGGCGGCCTCCCCTCAGAGAGGTGAGGTTCATGCTTCGAAGGCAGCTGCAGAGACAGAGGAGCCCGCTGTGTACCCAGGCGGGGACAGCTCCCAAATCCTGGTTTTATGGGACTTCAAAACCAGGGATCAGACTAAGTTTCTGAGAGGTGATGGGCAGCCCGGGTATCTGAGAGGAGTTAGTGGAAGGAGGGTGCAGAGCCTGGTCCTTGGGGAAGGAAGTCTTTCCCTTGGCAATGCTTTTCCCTGACCCTGGACAGCCCCCAGTGGAGCTGCAGGGAGTCTTCTTCCTCACCCGCCAGAGTCCACAGGCCTGTGGGCAGGGGAGGCCCTCACCCAAGAAGGGCATTTTAGTGCAGTGGGCTCTGAAGGAACTTGGAAGCCTCTAGTTAGTCCCACCCCCGATCTGTGGTCTGGACTGCCCCTTTCAAGGAGGTTTCCAGACAGGGAGCAGCCTGTGGGCAGAGGCATCTCCCCAGCCGAGCCCAGGCATGGAGGAAGGCTGGAGTCTGCTGGAAGCCAGTAGACCAGGGAGGAGCAGCCAGGCCCAGGCCAAAGATGGGGCTCTCAAGTCATACCCCTTATGCTTGGAGGGCGGGAGTGGGACTCACACATCCACAGATAGTAGAGCATCTTGCATATCCGCTGGTAGTCGGCAGGGATCTCTGTGGAGAAATCCTGATAGAAGCAGGGCTTCACAGGGCACCACGAGGGCAGGGGTGGCCAGTTGTTCTCTCTCACTGTGTGGGAGAAAAACAGTGACGAGGTGAGGGCCCGGCCTCAGAAGGGGCATCGAGGTGTGTGCACGCCAGCACAGTGTATGGGCCAAACCGGGGTTCCCAGAGGGGCTCCAGCAAGCAGGGCTTGGAGTCTGCATGGAGCTTGGAGTCGGACGGAACAGGATAACGGCACCCAAAGAGACACCAACAAGCTCACACTGAGACAACGGACCCCAAATACACTGGGAAATACAGAGAGCTAAATGGCCTAAATGATAATAATATTTTTATTTTTTTTTAAGATGGGGTTTCACCATGTTGGTCAGTCTTGAACTCCGGACCTCAGGTGATCCGCCCGCCTTGGCCTCCAAAGTGCTTGGATTACAGGCGTGAGCCACCACGCCCGGCCCTAAATGATTATTTTTATTAACAAGCAGCCCGAAAGTGTGATACCTCAGTTCATCACCATTAGCAAGGAATTGTGGGACCGATGCCCCTATATCATCAAAGAATCAAGGAATTTTAGAGCTAGGAAGGAGTGCAGAAGTAACTGACAGCCAGTACAACCACACTGTAGCTCTTCTGACTTGCAACTTACTGCTCTCCCCAGGACCAGCGTCCTGCCATGAGCAGAGCCCCACAAAGCTCTGAGGCAGCCCAGGGTGAATGCTGGAGACCCTCCGCACAGGGCTCAGGACACTCTTCTGCACCAGGCAGGCAGTCCCAGGCCCCGGCAGCCTCCCTTACCATGCAAGTTGGCCACGGTGTTCTGCAGCTCCCGCTCCTTGCGTTCTAGCTCCGCTGCTTTCTTGTCCAGTTCTTCCTGCTGCCGGAGCAGGCCTGCCTGGGCTGCAGACACCACGGCCTGGAGAGACGGCGGGAGGTACAGGAACAGCCAGACACAAGAAACAGAAACAGTATCGGCCTGGGTGGGCAGGCAGAGAGGCCTTGCCCCAGGCAGGGACAGCCAGCAGGGAGTCCCAGAAGCAGTCCCCGCCCCACAGTGTCTTAGGTACCAGAGACCACCACAGAGAGGCCAACCTGTCTTCTGCTGCCCCGCCTTCCTGGCCCCTCGGCCACGGCTAGGCTCCCCTCTCCCTTCATCCCTAAGCTTGAGTTGGGAAAATTCTCCCCAGTGGCTTCTCTGCTTCTCTCCGATATCAGAGTCAAGGCAGAGCTCAGCAATTGTGACCTCTGGGAAAAAGACCTCACAGGAAACTAAACTGCAATAAGAAACCCACAGACCCAAGTCTCATTTGAAGAGCTGGGTGTGTGAGAGAGAAGGAAGACCGTGCAAGCCTGCTAGCCGTGAGTGGAATGGGGAGACGCGTCAGGGCACAGGGTGTGTACCTAAGCCTCAAGATCTGTGCAAGCATCCTGCCCCCAGAAACTGCCCTCTGAGGTCCCCCTAAACTGAGACTGGTGACACCCCAGGACAGCTCCTTAGGTGTGGTCCTGCCCTGCCTGGCTCAGTGGCAGGCAGAGTCCATGCTTATCTCCTCTCCAGGCAGGGCAGAGCCTCTGAGTGACGGTAATGGACTGACTGTACGTGAGGCTGAACGGACGTGGCCCTGGGGCCCTACACCTGCTGGCAGCTGCTGCTGTTTGGGTCAGATTCCTCCTGAAGGATGAGACCACAGTCCTTTTTAGGGCGAGATCTCAAACTGGGCATCTCCCAGGATGACAAACCAGGTGCATGTGTACACAAACACATATCAGCCTCTCCAGAAGCTCTCCAAAGACCTAAGGCTGCCTTCGGGAGGTGAGTTTCAGGGACTGGGGGCATAAGCAGGAGCAAAACCTACGTCCCTGTGCCATGCTGGGGGTCTTAACCTTCTCCAGGTCTCTGACTCAGTCGAGAAGGACCCAGCTCCCTACAGCCCACCACCCAGCTGCACAGAAAGGCACCCTGCACCCAAGGCCTGCCTCAGTTCCACAGGGCTCCGGGGCCTGGGAGGGGCACAGGGCAGGCTCCAGGCACCCCGTCCTTCCTCCTGCTCATCTACAACTAGGCCTACCTTCGGAAGGCTTTGCATGCAGCTGTCTCTGAGAATGCTATCTCCCCCTAGGAGCGTCTGCCTCTCTGAGGGCTCGCCCACTGCCAGGCATCGGGCAGGCAGGACCCTGCCGGCCCGTCTAAGCAGGAGCTGCAACACACCACTTCACCGTGGGCCACACTCATGGGGGCAGCGAGGCGGCGCAGTGGAGCGCCAGGCACAAGGCAGACGAGATTCATAGTACTTAGTGAAGGGACAAAGGAAGACGGGAAGGAAGGTGAGAATTAATGAAGTTTAAAAAAAAGAAGCGGCCGGGCGCGGTGGCTCAAGCCTGTAATCCCAGCACTTTGGGAGGCCGAGGCGGGTGGATCACGAGGTTGAGAGATCGAGACCATCCTGGTCAACATGGTGAAACCCTGTCTCTACTAAAAAAAAAAAAATACAAAAAATTAGCTGGACATGGTGGCACGTGCCTGTAATCCCAGCTACTCAGGAGGCTGAGGCAGGAGAATTGCCTGAACCCAGGAGGCGGAGGTTGCGACCGCGCCATTGCACTCCAGCCTGGGTAACAAGAGTGAAACTCTGTCTCAAAAAAAAAAAAAAAAAAAGGGATTCTGGGCCCCAAGGAAGAGGGAACAAGCCAAAGGCCCGAGGAGGACCTGGAGGGGCACAACAGGGACAAATGCTCTCTCTGGAGGCAGCAAGGAGCCCGGCTGGTGAGTAGAGCTTCTCTCTCTCTGTGGTGGTGGATGGGAGGGGAGAGAGGATGCTGATTGGCAGAGCAGACCCTCTGCTTGCAGGTGACCAGATCCAAAGAAGTAGTCAGAGGGCCCTTGGGGGGCCGAGGCTGGAGGCTGGCTGCTTGCCCCCCGCCTCAAGTCTCAGCTACTGGTCTGGGTATTTCCCTCACGGGAGGGAAAAGGCAGAGTTCTTTGTCAGCAGTACCTGGGGGGTCGGCTGGGTGGGCTCCACGGAGGGCTGGAGAACCGCTGGCTGCGAGGGCCCAGGGAGTGGTGTGACAGGAACTGTTGTCGCTGCATTTGTCTACATGGAACGGATCAAAGGGCGGAAGTGAGTGGGACTCCACCAGTTGGTGACGGGGAAGCAAACCCACAGCAGGGTGAGTGATGTGCCCGCCTGTGAGGGGACTCCCTCCGGGCCTGCACTGGCCCTTCCCCTGTGGCTTCCCAGCCAGCAAGCCTCAGGTTCAGGCCATCTGATCCCCAACCCAGCACCCCTGGCCTCGCTGAGTCCAGCGCCCTCAGGCACTGCCCTGACCTCCCTGGGGAGGGGCCCGGTCATGGATCCCAGAGGGCTTGGTGGCTTTCCCATCCTTACCCCGCCTCCCGGGTTCATGTTAGGACTGTCCCTTTGAGGACTGCTACTTCTCAGAGCTCCTTCTATCCTTGCCAAGGCTTCCTGCCCCAAAGGCCCCAGCACCACCCAGAGGACCACGGGACTCGGAAAGAGGGCACGGCACGCTCACCAACCTCTGAGAATGGGTTGAATTCCGCCAGGCCGCCCTCAGGGGCATTGGTCAGCTGGGTCACAGAGGGATCCTGAGAAGGTGAGAAAGAGCCCTCAGACTCAGAAGAGAAAACCCTGGCCAGGGCCACAGGCGAGCTGGTGATCATCCTTCCAGGACCCTGAAAAGCCTCTTTGTTTTTTTTTTTTAGATGGAGTCTCGCTCTGTTGCCCAGGCTGGAGTGCAGTGGTGTGATCTCGGCTCACCGTAACCTCTGCCTCCAAGGTTCAGGCGATTCTCCTGCCTCAGCCTCCCCAGTAGCTGGGATTACAGGCACCCACCACCACGCCCAGCTAATTTTTTGTATTTTTAGTGGAGACGGGGTTTTGCCGTGTGGGCCAGGCTGGTCTCAAACTCCTGACCTGATCCATCTGCCTCAGCCTCCCAGAGTGCTGGGATTACAGGCCTGAGCCACCGCGCCTGGCCGAGAAGCCTCTCTGGAAGGGCCCTGTGCTTGCCCCTGCAGTCCCTTCTCCCTTCCTGGAAAAGGTTCAGCCCAGAAGAGACCCAGAGCAAGCTTCACCCTGAGGCCTGAGAGTACCCACCACACAAGCCTCTGCTGGTGCCCTGTGCAGACTCAAATGGTTCACAGTATTTACCTCTAGGGAGTGGTTTTTTGGTTTTTGGCTGGGTGAAGTGCTGAGGGGGCAGAAACTTACTCTTGACTTTATAACCTTTCTGTACTATTTTACTTACTATTCCTCTTATTTTAAAAAAGATAATCAAAGGTGGCCAGGAGTGGTGGCTCATGCCTGTAATCCCAGCACTTTTAGGAGGCCGAGGCAGGCAGATCACCTGAGGTCGGGAGTTCAAGACCAGCCTGACCGACTTGAAAAAACCCCGTCTCTACTAAAAATACAAAATTAGCTGGGCATGGTGGGGCATGTCTGTAATCCCAGCTACTCAGGAGGCTGAGGCAGGAGAATCGCTTGAATCCAGGAGTCGGAGGTAGCAGCAAGCTGAGATTGCATCATTGCACTCCAGCCTGGACAACAAGAGCAAAACTCTCTATCTATCTATCTATCTATCTATCTATCTATCTATCTATCTAGTCTAAGGTAGAACAAAAACATGCTGCTGGCTGCCAGTACTGATTTTATTAGATCAGGCACATATCGATATCTTGCTAAGAGCAGAGATATCATGGGCTCAGATGAAAATCCAAGAAAATGTTTTTGGGTTTGGGGGTTTTTTTAAAGTCTTTTCATAAAATCCAAGAATGTCCTCAAAACACAGCCTTGTCTCCCTTTCCCATCTGATCTCTGCATGGGGGTTGCCATCCGCTTTTCTGTGCCCTTGCTGGCCTGGGGCAGTTGTTTCCACCCTGCCCCGCCCCCAGCAGAGACTCTGCACCCTCCCCTTCCTGCTAACAGAGGCAGGGCTCAGGTCCAGCTTCACAGCCATGCCTTAGGGTGGCCAAATTCAAGGCTGTTCCTGCCTGTGGAGACACTGCTCAGGTTCCACACCTCACCCCACACCCTGAATTATTAAACCAGATGCTCCCATCTTTCAGGCCCAGCCTGACCTCCACTGGAAGCCTCTGCAGAGCCAGTTCTTTTTTTTTTTTTTTTTTTTTGAGACGGAGTTTTGCTCTTGTTACCCAGGCTGGAGTGCAATGGCACGATCTCGGCTCACTGCAACCTCCACCTCCTGGGTTCAAGCAATTCTCCTGCCTCAGCCTCCTGAGTAGCTGGGATTACAGGCACGTGCCACCATGTCCAGCTAATTTTTTGTATTTTTTTTTTTTTTAGTAGAGACGGGGTTTCACCATGTTGACCAGGATGGTCTCGATCTCTCAACCTCGTGATCCACCCGCCTCGGCCTCCCAGAGTGCTGGGATTACAGGCTTGAGCCACCGCACCCAGCCCCTTTTTTTTTTTTTTTTTTTTTTTTTTTAAGATGGAGTCGTGGCTGGGCGCAGTGGCTCACGCCTCTAATCCTAGCATTTTGGGAGGCTGAGGTGGGTGGAGCACCTGAGGTCAGGAGTTTGAGACCAGCCTGGCCATCATGGTGAAACCCCATCTTTAAAAAAAAAAAAAAAAAGATGGAATCTTGCCGGGCATGGTGGCTCACACCTGTAATCCCAACACTTTGGGAGGCTGAGGTGGGTGGATCACCTGAGGTCAGGAGTTCAAGACCAGCCTGTTCAATATGGTGAAACCCCATCTTAAAAAAATAATAAGAAGAAGAAAATAAAGAAAAAAAGAAAGAGAAAAAAAAGATGGGAGTCTCACTTTGTGGCACAGGTTGGAGCTGAGTGACATAATCTCAGCTCACTGCAACCTCCGCCTTCTGGGCTCCAGTTCTTCTCATACCTCAGCCTCCCGAGTAGGTGGGATTACAGGCACCTGCCCCCATGGCCACCAGCTAATTTTTGTATTTTTTGTAGAGATGGTGTTTCACCGGCCAGGCAGGGTGGCTCACACCTATAATCCCAGCACTTTGGGAAGCCGAGGTGGGCAGATCATAAGGTCAGGAGTTCAAGACCAGCCTGGCCAATACAGTGAAATCCTGTCTCTACTGAAAACACAAAAATTAGCCAGGCATGGTGGAGGGCACCTGTAGTCACAGCTCCTTGGGAGGCTGAGGCAGGAGAATCGCTTGAACCCTGAAGGTGTAGGTTGCGTAGGTTGCAGTGAGCCAAGATCATGCCACTGCATTCCAGCCTGGGTGACAGAGCAAGACTTTTTCTCAAAAAAAAAAAAAAGCCGGGCGCGGTGGCTCAAGCCTGTAATCCCAGCACTTTGGGAGGCCGAGGCGGGTGGATCACGAGGTCAAGAGATCGAGACCATCCTGGTCAACATGGTGAAACCCCGTCTCTACTAAAAAATACAAAAAATTAGCTGGGCATGGCGGCGCGTGCCTGTAATCCCAGCTACTCAGGAGGCTGAGGCAGGAGAATTGCTTGAATCCAGGAGGCGGAGGCTGCGGTGAGCCGAGGTCGCGCCATTGCACTCCAGCCTGGGTAACAAGAGCGAAACTCTGCCTCAAAAAAAAAAAAAAAAAAATCAGCTGGGCATGGTGGTGCATGCCTGTAATCGCAGCTACTCAGGAGGGTGAGGCAGGAGAATCGCTTGAACCCAGGAGGTGGAGGTTGCAGTGAGCTGAGATCACGCCATTGCACTCCAGCCTGGGTGACAGAGTGAGACGCTGTCTCAAAAAAAAAAAAAAAAAAAGAGCCGGGGTTTCACCATGTTAGGCAAGCTGGTCTCGAACTCCTGACCTCAGGTGATCCGCCCACCTCGGCCTCCCAAAGTGCTGGGATTACAGACGTGAGCCGCTGCACCCAGCCTCCAGTTCTTTTTTTTTTTTCTTTTTTAGAGACAGGGTCTCACTCTGTTGCCCACGCTGGACTGCAGTGGTACGATCATAGCTCACAGTAGCCTCAAACTCCTGGACTCAAGCAGTCCTCCCACCTCAGCCTCCCGAGTAGGTGGGATTGCATACATGAGCCACCAGGCCTGGCTCATTTTTGAAGTTTTTTTTGGTAGAGATAGGGTCTTGCTTTGTTGCCCAGGCTGGCTTTGAAGTCCTAGGCTCAAGTGATCCTCCCACCTTGGGCTCCCAAAGCGCTAAGATTATAAATGTGAGATACCTCGCCCTGTCCAGATCCAATTCTTAAATACGATGCTAATATTAGATGCACTCACAGAGTGACCCCCTTAGTTTACAGATGTAGAAACTGATATTCACCGTGATCCTAGGACTCAAAATGAGAGCTCTCTCCTTACTCTGAGCATTTACAGAGCTGAGGGTCAGCATTGAACATGTTCTCTGGTTTTATCACAGATACTACCTCTTACCTTCCCACATGAGCCACAGTTCCTAGTGGGTACGACTGTCTGGCCAGCCCCAGGCATACAGCCAGGACTCACTCTGTGTCTGGACGGGCCTCACCCCACAGCCTCCACCCCCTTCCAACCTGCTCTGTGACAAAGAATGTGGCTATGTCTTTCCTGCTGAACACCACCTCTGCTCTGATGGCTCCTGCAACTTGGACAAAGTGACAGAGGCTCCGTGTGGCTGAGGACTTGGCCCTGAGGTTATTTCACAGGGGAATGGCCCGTGGTTTACTCCCAGAATGATCTGGCTTCCTGCGAGGAAGATTTGGGGCTTGGTATCGGTTCCCCTTTCAGACGCAGCAGACACCTCGCCACCGCTGAAGTCACTGAAATCGGATCTACCATCCACAGAATTGGCTCCTTGAGTCTGAGTCACCACAGGACAGAGGAAGAGGGGCCGCTCTGGTAGCAGTTTCGGGTGCTGGCATGTAGACATCTGGCCAGGGTGCACATGTTTACTGGGTGACCTCCAGGCCCACAAAGAGATGCTGTTTCCTTTACGAATGGCAGACAGAAGGGGACTGTGGATGGGGATGACAGCGTGACTGCCCTGTCCACTCTGACCCCTCCCCTTTTCTTACAATCTTATTATTATTATTTTTTTTAGAGACGGGGTCTCACTATGTTGCCCAGGCTGGAGTGCAGCGGCCATTCACAGGTGCGATCCCACTATTGATCAGCATGGGAGTTTTGACCTGTTCCGTTTCTGACCCGGGCCGGTTCACCCCTCCTTAGGCAACCTGGTGGTCCCCCGCTCCCAGAAGGTCACCATATCGATGCCAAACTTAATGTGGCCACCCAATCGGCATAGCGCACTACAGCCCAGAACTCCTGGGCTCAGGTGATCCTCCCACCTCAGCCTCCCGAGTAGCTGGGACTACAGGCACGCGCCACCATGCCTGGCTCCTACAATCTTAAAGACTTGGCCGTGGACCCCTCACCGGGCTCCTCATAAACAAATCCAATCTCCACTGGTAAGCCAGAAACTCTCTGCCACCACGTGCATCTGTGTCTAGTCCATACTTTTGTTCGCTGGTGCTTGGTGACGTGGCTGCGGCAGCACACCGGCTCAGGGCAGGTTTGAGAGGACATGCGGCACACTGGGGCCTTCCACTTCTCTAGGAAGCACTGCCCAAGAGCCGGGGCATAGCCAACAGGGGGCACCTGCAGCAGAGCAGCAGCCCGAGGGCCT